GTGCATGGGATTCCAGGATCAGCGCTAGCGCCAGCACGCACCAGCGCCTAACACTGGCACGCACCAGCGCCAAGCATCGCCCAACACCAAGCAACACTGCCTGGCTGGGATGCGAAGGCTGCTGGTGGGCATGTGCTTGCTAGGCTGGGCATGCTGGCAGTGCTAGCTGGCTGCCAGCCTAGTAGCATGCTTGAGGCGGTTTTGTGAGGAGAGTGGGGACCAAGGCTTAGAGCCATGCCTTGGGGTGCAAGGCAATGGTCTCTCCCAAGGTACATGGTCCTTACCTAACTCTCTCTCTCCCCTTGACACTTGTTGCATTGTGATTGTATTTATTTATTAATTTATTTTAGAAATAAATTAATTAGCTAAATTACTCATTCTCCCACATTGGTTAGGGTATGAAGTTCAAGCGTTCATTTCCCTATAGATACCAAGCTTGGGTATTGAGAATGAACAACCTTGAGTGGAATTAAAAAGATAACTCTAAATAAGAGTTAACCTTTGATTTGTAAAACTCATAGTTATTTTGTCCAGGTCTTGACTAACCTTCAAGTCTTAGGGCGCTTGGGTCGGGTCGAGGGTACGATCCGTCGGAGATCTCGTGTTTACAAGAATTTGAAGTAAGAGCTCTTTGGGAGCGAAGCACGCGTCAAAGGTATAATTCTTGTTCTTAATATTGTTTGATTAAGTTTAATATGCTCTTTAATTGTTTTAATTAAGGGGCAGGTCTTGGTGGGTTTCCTTCCGCGTAGTGTCGGGTCACTACGAAACCCTACATGTGCGTGCTAGCTAGGCCAGGCATCACTGCACGCTATGAGTGCTGGGCCTCGCATGGCAGCAGCCCAGCGCCTCGCACATCGCATGTAACACGCACCTTCCAGGAGCGTGCTAGGAATGCTCGGTTGTTCGTGTGTGCTAGCAAGCAGCAACACGCTATGCCTCGCCTAGTAGCAGCACCTAGCATGCGTGGCTCGCTAGCAACACGCATGCACTGGCTTTTTGCGTATGCTTGCAGCTGGATGTGCGTGTGTGCTGGCTGGCTGGCCAGGCTTTTCAGCCTTGATGCTTGGCGCCAACTAGCAGCCTTGGCAGCCAAGGCAGGCTGCTAGTAAGCCACTTTGCACGGTGGTCAAATATTGCTAAGTGGGGACCATTGCTTGGTCATTGCCTTGGGGAGCAAGGTGAGTTGGTCCCCTCCCTTGGTTGTCCTCACCTTCTCCCTCTCCTCCTATTGCCAATTGTAACTTGGTGATTGAATTGCAATTTTACTTTTGTTTTGATAAAAATAAAATGGAAAAATTGCAAATCTCCCACATTGATCACTAGTAGAAAAAATGACAAAGGCACCCCACCTTTGGCATCGGTTTTTGGAAACCAGTGGTTAAAAAAAACGGGCGAGATTGGAAAACAAGCTTTTGGCACCAGTTCAAGCTAAACCGGTGGCAAATTATCTTTTAGGCATCGGTTTAAACCGGTGCTAAATAAAAAAGATATTTTTTTAAAAAAAAAAAAAGGGGAGAAAGGGATTTGGCACCAGTTCGGTTCGAACTGGTGCTAAATCTATTGAAAAAAAAACACAAAAACACCGGATATACTCTTTTCTTTCTCTTGCTTTCATTTCCACAATCTTTCCACCTATCTCATCTGATATGGCTCTCTCTCCCTCCATTGAAGCGTACTAGAATTTCTCTATTGAAGGGGCTTTTAAGCTTTCTCTAAGGACTTTCCTCAAACTCCTTTTCTCTCCTTCTCCATAACCGCCACTTTCCCTTTCCTTTCTTCTCTTTTTCGATCTCCTTCTCCTTCTCTCTTTCTACAATATTCGAGGTTAAGGTTTCTGGGTTCGTCTATTTTGAATCAAATTAATGTGCGTGCGTCTTCAACAACAACAAATTCGAATCAATTTCGAACCAAAAATCAAATATTTGAGGTTAGGGTTTCTTGGTTATTTAGCTTTGCATTATATTTTGGTCTTTTAATCCTATTATTCATTTTGAGTTTTTTTGGTGTTTTTTGTTATCTGAGTTATTTCAGTTGAAAACCCTAGTGATGTTAGTGTTGTTTGTATGTTTGGTTGTTTTATCGGATCTGCTCAGATCTTTGTCATGATTGAGCTTTTTAGTTGATCTGGACTTTGATTGATGTGCTTTGTTATAGATTTGATTGGAAATTTTTTATAATTGAGTCGATATAATTGAGTGAAATTGAGTGTGGTTGATTAACTGGAATATGCTATTTTTAGGGTTGCTAATTATGCTTGGTTATTGATTTTGATTAGTAGTTAAGTTAAGTTGAGTTGCTCCTATTTTCTAAATCGCAACATTCATGTTGAGTAGTTTATTAGTTCAAAAAGAGCACAGTTGGGTTATCTTACCAAATTAGAGAACCTTCAAGTAGATATATATTGGCTTCACAAGTTCATGGGTTGACTAAACTTTTGGAAGATAATATCACCTTGCCCATAATGCTCAGCATCACTCTTATAACGCTGAAGCTCTCTGTTTGTTTAGTTCACTGTATCAGATACTTGTGGGTTGTGACTGGCAATCCCTCAACTTCTAGCAACATTTCTAACTAACTTGACATGTCAAGTGAACTAAGTAACATTGTCTTGGTTGCTTGCCCTAATTTATATGTTTGCCTATTTAAAGCAGTAAGATAGGTTTTTATGGCTTAGTATGTATGTTTGCTGGAGTGCCATCTATTATATGACCTATTAGTTGATTAGGTGAGGTTTACATTCTATTTGATAGCTCAATGGTGTTACGGAGTAATTGGTTTAACTAGAATGCTAGAAGCAAGCAATACGAAGTATAAATGACCTTTTTGTTCTTATTATTTTCTTTCTTTCCCATTTGTAGGTAACACAATCTGCACTTGAGAAAGCAAACTTAACTGCTAAAGATCTTTCTGCGGTAATGATAAGTGGCATTTATGCCACTATTCGGGATCCTTTTTCCTACCATTTCCCTCCATTTATCGCTTGTTTAGCCCTATTTTTCCGCGCTTCTCCATATATTGCACAACAATGCTATTTCCCTAATACTTCCCCTCTACTTTACCTTTTTGTGCTGTTTTTGGGTGTTTTCCTGTGTTTTGCAAGTAAACCAATCGATACGTGAAGTAGAAGAAAGTTCGGGATAGTTTCGACAGCCGGTTTCAATAGCAAATCAAGTGAGGAGCTTTAATCAAGCTGCGTGCCCAGGAGAGCCCTCTCTCCCGCTCTGCGCGGGCGCGCAACCCAAGGGAGAGGGTGCGCTTTCAAGGCCAATCAGGATGTAAACCTCGTAGATGCCTCGGGCCCTGGAGAGGGTGCGCTACTCATCCTGCGCGGGCGCGATGATTCCTGGAGAGGGCGCGCAGATTAGCTTGAACTCTTGAAGATAGAAGGCAACTTTCTGTAGATGCCAAGCGCGCTTAGTAGAGGACGCGCAGTATACTTCGCGGGCGCGCAGATGTTAGTAGAGGGCGCGCACACGGAAGTTCGCGGGCGAAAGGGCGCGCACATCATCCTGCGCGGACGCGCAAAGAGCTGTAACGGGCGCGCACGCCGTCAGCCTAGCCCGTTTTTATTTCCCTACTTAAAAGATGATTTGAAAAGGGAAGGAAGGAAGCTATTCCATTTAGGGTAATATGCTTAGAACATTTCTAGAGAGAGAATAGTCTCCATTGATGCTTGTATAAGTTTTAAGAGAGGGAAAATTCAGATTCTTAGTCTTTTATCACCTAAACTTTAATCTTTAATCTAGATTAGTGCTTTAATCATCCTTGTAATCAATATTGGAGAATTCTATGAAAAAAAATTTGATGGTTCACCATTGAAGGTTCAAAGACCCATTTTCTTATTTCAATACAAGGTTGAAGCTTTGTGAGCTCTTTCTATCTTAATCCCTTTTATTTTGGTTTATTTACATATTTCAAGTATTTTTTATTGTTATGTTGATGATTTTGATTATGGCCAATATTTTGGGTATTGTTGATATGAGTAGTTTCTCTCTCCTAGGCTAGATTTTTAGCTAGGGGAAGGGGAATGGACTACTTGGTTGCTATTTGATTAAATACTTTATTTTTGAGGATTTAAACCCTTGTTGTATGAACTTGTGCTTATTGTTATATGGTTGATGTTGTGCACCATTGACTATATTATTACATGTCCTAATTGATGCGCGGGAGTGATCATGTTAGGATTGATCGTAGTTTATACATTGCTTAATCAATTGCATGGGAATGAATAGTGTTAAGTAGGATCCTTTCTCCCTTGGTTGCGAATCCTTGATTATCTATGTGTTTATCTCTTAATCTCCAAGTTTGATGTTCCCCGATCCCCCTAGCGTGTTTAATCTCATAGTTTCCAATACTTATTAGTCTTTGTTAATTGTTACAGTAATTTTGGTAGCCTTAGTTTATTTATTGTCTTGTTTTCCACCACTCTTATTCATATACACCCCTTTTAAAACTCTATTGTTTGCACTTAGCGTTGCAATCTCCCATTTCTCCGTGGATCTCGACCCTTGCTTGCCTCTATACTCATTTAGGTAATCTAGGATTAATTTGATAGGAAGGTGTATTGACGACGACATTTCGCTCCTCATCAAATTTTGGCGTCGTTGCTGGGGAGACGGTCAATTTTGTTTTGCTTTTGTGTTATTTTAGAGTTTTTTTTTCTTTTTTTTTTGTCCATTTGATTGTGCTAGTCATTTCTAATCGTTTGCTTAGCTTTGGTGGATGCAAAGGAGATCTCAAGGACCACCTTCTCACTACATTGATCACGAAATAGACCGTACCTTGAGACAAGTCGTAGACTTTATCAAGAAGAAGGAAGAGGTTTTGGAGCTATTTTTGATAGTGAGAGTGATTCTTGCTCTTCACACTCTCAAGGCGAAGAAATGGCCGGGCAACAAGCGGACGTTTTATTTCGTGAGTTCGGTAATCCGGAGGATTATGAGCAATTTTCGGGTGCCACGGAAACTAAATTCACCATCCATCCTCAATATACAAGAATGGTACAAGCGGAGCAATTTTCGGGTTCTCCAAGTGAAGACCCCATTGAGCATCTTGATAGATTTCTTGAGCTTTGTGCCATGATACAAACCAACCAAGTTTCTCAAGAATACATTCGGATGCACCTATTCCAACAGTCTCTTGCGGGGAGGGCAAAGAAGTGGCTCAAGCAAGTCAAGCCTAATTCTCTCACAACATGGAGGGAAATTGTCCAAGCATTCTTGAAAAGGTTCATCTCCGAAGAGAAAACCGCCGACATGAGGAGGAAGATTGCATCTTTTGAACAAGAGGCGGAGGAAAGCCTTAGTGAAGCTTGGGAGAGGTTTAAAGAGTTGGTGCAAGCATGTCCTCACCATGAATACAATAAAAGCTTACTCATGAGGTTCTTCTACGATGGATTGGAGCCAATGTCTAGAGCCAACTTGGACGCGGGGGCGAGTGGACAATTGATTAAAGTCCCTCAAAACCAAGTTGAAGCAACAATTGAAGAGGTGGTGAAGAACTATTCTTGGGGAAGTAGAAGGAGGAATGTACCTAGAAAGGGTGGAAAGTATGAGTTGGAGAAGGTTGATCAATTACAACATCAAATTGAGACGTTGACAAAAGGGCTTGCAAAATTGAATACAAATATCAATAGTGGTGCAAGCTCCTCCCAAGTTAACTCTTTCTCTTGTCAAAATTGTGGTGGTACAAACCACGATACATCTTATTGTGGAGGTTTGAGCCCGGAGCATGTCGCGGCTTACAACACAAGGCAAGAGGGATATAGGGGAATTGGTGCAGGAGTAGCTTGGAGACAACCACCACCCGGATTTGCAAACCAACCCCAACAATGGAACCAACAAGCTCAACAACCGTTCAATTCCAACCCACAATACCAAAACCAAAACCCTTCTACATACCAAAACCAATACCAAAGCCAAAACCCAAAGGGAAACTACCCAAGGAACCACCAATAAAATAGCCAACACCAATACCAAAATCAAAATCAAGCAACTCAAAGGAGTCAAGAGCAAGTGTCTCAACCCGATTCTACTCAAACCCAAATTCTCCAACAACTCCAAGCCATGAATCAACAAATCCAAGAGCTTAAGGAACACAACAAGATGGTTGATTCTCAATTAGCTCAAGTGGCTGAAAATTCTTCCTTAAACTCTTCCTCTAAACTACCCGGACAACCGAACACAAACCCATCTCACAACCTTAAACAACCCGACACATGCAAGGCGATCACCTTGAGATCGGGTGCTTCTTATGAAGGCCCAAAAGGGAATGAGGAGGTAGAGAAATAAGGGGAAGATAAGAAGGGAGATGAGGAGGTAAATATTGAGAAAGAAGTTAGAGACAAGAAGTCCAAGGGTAAGGACCCCATTGACACTAGCAAGTATGATAATCCGGTACCTTATCCCGGGAGGGTTGCGGAGCGAAGGTTGAGTGACAAATTTGCAAAGTTTCTTGATGTGATGAAAGGGTTACACATCAACCTACCTTTCCTTGAAGTGGTGACACAAATGTCATCTTATGTGAAGTTCCTCAAATATATCCTATCGAACAAAAGGAAGCTCAAGGATGAATTTATTACACTTCCACATCAAGTAAGTGCGCTTGTTCAACATAAGATGCCAAAGAAGCAAAGAGACCCCGAAAGTTTCACATTACCGGTCAAGATTAGCAACTTGGGGCCCATAGGAGCTCTAGCCGAACTTGGGGCTAGTGTTAGCCTAATGTCGTTGTCCATTGCTCAACAATTGAATATCGAGATGATACCAAGAAGGAAGACCATTCAACTAGCCGATCGATCGGTTAAGTTGCCTTGTGGAGAAATTGAAGATGTCCCTATTCAAGTGGGACACATCTATGTACCTTGTAATTTTTTTGTAATGGATATGGAGGAGGATGAGAAAACTCCTTTGATTCTTGGAAGGGAAACATTGAAGACATTGGGGGCCGTCATTAGTTGCAAAAACAATACCATTACTTGTGAAGTAGCCGATGAAAAGATTGTTTTTGAATTCTCTAAGCTACTCAAGACCCCCATGGTTGAGAAGTGTTATAGGGTTGATGTGGTAGGTGAGGAGTTGGATTGTTTGGGAAGGGTTATGATGAGCCCTCAAGATCCAATGGTTGAGGCTCTTACATGCGAGGAAGAGTACTACTCTCACGAGGCAAAGGAGTTTGTCATGACTATTGAAGAAGCCAAAAGAGAGGAAGAGAATGATCCTAAGCATGAAGAGCTAGCACAAGAAGAGGAGAAATTGGAGGAGAGTTCTAAGCCTCCTCCTAAGGTAGAACTCAAACCCCTTCCCCCCTCTTTGAAATATGCTTACCTTGGAAATGAAGGGGAATACCCAGTTATTGTCAATGCTATCCTTGATGGGCATGATTTGGATAAATTGCTTGACGTTTTGAGAAAATATAGAAGTGTGATAGGGTATAACATTGATGATATCAAGGGTATTAGCCCTTCGTTGTGCATGCATCGAATCAATTTTGAGAATGATGATGCCACCTCCATTGAGCCTCAAAGAAGGTTAAATCCTAACCTTAAAGAGGTAGTAAAAAAGGAGATTTTGAAACTATGTGAAGCGGGGATTATCTATGCTATCTCCGATAGCAAATGGGTAAGACCGGCTCACGTAGTTCCTAAGAAAGGTGGCATGACCATAATCAAGAATGAGAAGGGAGAGGACATCTCCACCCGAACGGTGACTGGGTGGAGAATGTGCATTGATTATAGGAAGTTGAATAAAAATACAAAGAAAGATCACTTCCCTCTCCCTTTAATTGACCAAATGTTGGAAAGGTTATCAAAGCATGCCTTCTATTGCTTCTTAGATGGATACTCGGGATTTTTCCAAATCCTAATCCACCCTAAGGATCAAGAGAAGACCACTTTCACTTGTCCTTATAGGACATTCGCATACCGAAGGATGCCTTTCGGCCTATGCAACGCCCCATCGACCTTCCAACGATGCATGACCTCCATTTTCTCTGAAATGTTGGAGAATGAAATTGAAGTATTCATGGATGATTTCAGTGTAGGCGGCTCCTCTTTTGAAATGTGCTTATTAAACCTCGAAAAAGTCTTGAAGCGATGTCAAGAGACGAGCCTTGTTTTAAATTGGGAAAAATGCCATTTTAGGGTTGAGGAGGGGATTTTTCTCAGCCATAAGGTGTCAAAAAGAGGGATTGAAGTTGATCCGGCTAAGGTGTCGGTAATAACCAAGCTACCCCCGCCTACTTCCATTACGGGAGTAAGGGCTTTCTTGGGGCACGCGGGTTTTTACCGGAGGTTTATCAAAGATTTCTCCACTATATCTAAACCTTTAACCGGATTGCTTCAAAAGGATAAAGATTTTTGTTTTGATGATAGTTGCCTTCGAGCCTTCAATAAGCACAAGGAAGCTCTCACATCTTCTCTTGCAGTGCAAGCTCCAGATTGGAGCTTGCCATTTGAACTAATGTGTGATGCTAGTGACTTCGCAGTGGGAGCCGCATTAGGTCAAAGAGAAGGAGGCTAGCTGCACGTAATTTCCTATGCTAGTAGAACCTTGGATGATGCCCAAAAGAAATATACTACTACAGAAAAGGAGATGCTTGCAATTGTGTTTGCTATGGACAAGTTTCAGCCCTATCTTGTTTGCTCCAAAGTGATAGTGTACACGGACCATGCTGCGGTTCGAAACTTAATGAACAAGAAGGATGCAAAGCCTAGGTTAATACGATGGGTCTTCCGTCTTCAAGATTTTGATATTGAAATGAGGGATAAGAGGGGGGCCGAAAACCATGTTGCCGATCACTTGTCTAGATTACCTCATAATGATGTTGAAAGTGTTCCGATAAATGAGGAGATAGGTGTTGAGACCCTTATGGCTATCGCTTCTTCTCCTAGTCCATGGTTTATGGATTTCGCAAATTACCTAGCTAGTGGAATTGTCCCATACCAATACTCATCTCAGCAAAAGAAGAGGTTTTTCAAAGAAGTAAGACGGTATTTTTGGGACGACCCAGTATTATTAAAACAATGTGGGGATGGTATATTCCGGAGATGTGTCCCGGACCATGAAATTGAGGGTGTGCTCGAACATTGCCATTCACTACCGTGTGAAGGACATGGTGGTGTGACTAAAACTGTGGCTAAAATCTCTCAATCCCTTCTATGGTGGCCTACCATGCATCGTGATGCCCAACGATACATATCTAGGTGTGATAGGTGCCAAAGAGCGGGAGGCATCACAAAACGGGATGAAATGCCTCAATTGGGTATCCTTGAAGTTGAACCGTTTGATGTTTGGGGGGTTGATTTCATGGGTCCATTCGTGTCCTCATGTGGAAATGCTTATATATTGGTTGCGGTTGACTACGTGACCAAGTGGATAGAGGCTATACCATCGCCAACCAACGATCACAAAGTAGTCCTCAAGCTTCTAAGGAAGATCATCTTTCCAAGATTTGGGGTGCCCCGGACTCTAATTAGTGATGGTGGATCGCACTTTGCCAAGAAGAAGCTTGAAGCCTTCCTCAAGAAATATGGTGTCCACAATAAAGTAGGGCTCCCATATCATCCCCAAACCCAAGGCCAAGTTGAGGTATCGAACCGAGAGATCAAGAACCTACTTGAGAAGATGGTGAACCGGACTCGAAAGGATTGGTCCCTCAAACTTGATGATACTCTATGGGCCCTTATAACGGCCTACAAAGCCTCGATAGGAACTACTCCATACCGGTTGGTCTATGGCAAGGCTTGCCATCTCCCGGTAGAGTTAGAACATAAGGCTTGGTGGGCCATCAAGGAGCTTAATATGGACCTTGGGGAAGCCGGAAAGAAAAGGTTGATGAAATTGAATGGACTAGAGGAGCTTCATTTCGATGCATACGAGAATTCAAGGCTTTAAAAGGAGCAAACAAAGAAGTGGCACGATCAAAGGATAAGGTTCAAGGAATTCAAGGTTGGAGATGAAGTTCTACTTTTCAACTCTAAACTTCGTCTTTTCCCCGGAAAACTGAAATCCAAATGGTCCGGTCCTTTCAGGATTTCTAATGTCACTCCTTATGGGTCCTTTGAGCTAGATGCGGGCGATCACAAGTTTTGGGTTAATGGACACCCGTCAAACTCTATCATTCAGGGAACGAAGTTGGTCGTATTGAGTGCCTTAGGCTTGATCCTATGGATTACGAGCCTTCTCTTGTTGAGCCTTAATGAATCGAAACAATGGTCAAGCTAATGACCTTAAAAAGAAGCGCTTCTCGGGAGGCAACCCGAGCCCCTTTCTCCCTTCTATTCTTTGAATTTTTAATTTTTGTACCTAGATTTTATGATTGGATCTAATCCATAGTTGTTTTTATTGTAAGTCAAGTAGACCCGAGGAAGGAGCACAATGAAGAGAATTAACGACATTCACGCGCTTTTGATGATCTCGGGATGGGAGCTCTTAAAGCCGATTCCGTAATATAGGAATATTGTCGTTTTGAACTTGAACTTTTGTATGCTTTAGATTGGGTAGTAATATTTGATAAATATTTTAGTTTTATGTGTTAGGGATTTTTAGTAGAGTTAGAGAACTTTTAAAATCGAAGAAGTTTGGGTGTATTCTGTAGATGCCTTGAGAGGGCTCTACAGGGCGCTCATGAGGTTTGCGCGGGCGCGGAGAGTCCTTAGCGTGGGTGCACACTTTCTGGAAAAAAAAAGGGCCAATGCTTCTGTAGATAGCGTTCGCGCCCGTGAGAGGGCTCTCACAGGTTTGCGCGGGCGCGCAGGATGTGTTCGCGGGCGCGCAGGTAGTGTGCGCGGGCGCGCACGACTCCAGTTCAGAAAGCGCAGGTATGCTTCTTTCATCTTCATTTTCACTTTCATGCTCTCACTTCTCTCTCTCTCCTAAGCCCTAACCTCCATTACTAACCTCCATTACTAACCTCCATCATACCTCAAAACCTTCACTTTTCCTCCCCAAATCTCCCT